CACACAACCCAGGCCTGTGCCCTGACCAGGAATGGAACCATAACTTCCGGGGTCATAGGTCGACGCTCAACCACTGAGCCACACTAGCCGGGCTCATTCTGTATATGTTTTAACACATTTTTAAAAAGCGTCACCTGAGGAAATGTCTCTCTCTCTCTCTTAGAGAGAGAGGAAGAGAGAGAGAGAGAGAGACACTGATCGCTGCCTCCCGTACTCGCCCTGAACCGGGCGTGAAACCCGCATCCTTTTGTTGTACTGGACGGCACTCCAACCAAACTGAGCCACCGGCCAGGGTTTAACACACTTCTCTGAGTTCTTTATAATAACGCTTGGTCTAATTTACAAACGAAGTATCTTCACACATCTCAAACTACATTTATTTTTATTTTATTGATTTTTTACAGAGAGGAAGGGAGAGGATTAGAGAGTTAGAAACATCGATGAGAGAGAAACATTGATCAGCTGCCTCCCGCACACCCCCTACTGGGGATGTGCCCACAACCAAGGTACATGCCTTTGACCGGAATCGAACCTGGGACCCTTCAGTCCGCAGGCTGACGCTCTATCCACTGAGCCAAACCGGTTAGGGCTCAAACTACATTTCTGAAACCAGCACATTCGGTCTCTTCAGGACGTCCTTCAGTGGTTAGACACACCTCCCAGCATGAAAACACATTCACACACCTCTGCATATTACACGTATACATGTGACCAACACTGCCTTTTTTCAAGTCTCCCAGCACTGGATAGGAGGTTGGTGGGACCCCAACTTAAACATCGGACGCCGATGACGCACGTGAAGCTGAAGTCACCAGCTGTCCCTAGGACGGGTACGATTCTCTTAGACACACAAGCATATAAAAAGAAGGTGAAAACCAAGTTAAAACCAAGTGATTCGTAACCACTGAGCCCTGGCCAGTGTGGTTCAGTTGGTTGGAGTGTCATCCAGTACACCAAAAGGTTGTGGGTTCGATACCCAGTCAGGAAACATACCCAGGTTGCAGGTTTGATTTCCAGTCGGGGCAACAGATTGCTGTTTCTCCCTCACATTGATGTTTCTGTCTCTCTCCCTCTCAAGAAAGAATCAATAAAAAAAATATGCATGTGAAAGATTGGGCCTGTAACAGTTTTTCTGCTCAATTTGAAAGCACATGGGAATTGCAAAAAGACTTTCACGTAGCAGAGCAGGGAGGGGCTCAGACTCCGGCACCAGCCTCCTGACGCTTAAATTCTGATGTGGCATCTGTTTATTGTTGTTATTAATCTTCACCTGAGGATATTTTTTCCATTGGTTGTTTTAGAGAGAGTGTAAGTGGGGGGGAGGGGGCGGAGAGGGAGAGAGAGAGACAGAGAAACCTCAATATGAGAGGCACATCGATTGGTTGCCTCCAGCACGCACCCCCACCTTGGCTGGGGATGAACCAAGAACCCAGGTAGGTTCCCTTGACTGGGAATCGAACCCGAGACCCTTCGGGTGCCCGGGGGTTAATGCTCTAACCACTGAGTACACCAGCCAGGGCAATGTGGCCACCTATCTACACTAATAAAAGAGAAAAATGGTAATTGGCGTATGATGCTACCCTTTTCATTGGCTAATCAGGGCTATATGCAAATTAACTGCCAACTAAGATTGGCAGTTAACTGCCAACAAGATGGCGG